GCCACTGAGCTGCCAACAGGTGGCAGGATAGCTCAGCTGGTGAGAACACATGCTCCTAAGAACAAGGTTGCCGGTTCGATTCCCGCATGGAATGGTGGGCGTAGGCCACGCGCAACTAAGATTGAACACGGCACCTTGAGCTGAGCGTCCACAAGCTGCCAACAAGCGGCCGGATGGTGACTGGACTTGGAGCTGAGCTATCTGTGCCCTCCACAACTGAGATTGAAGGACAACAATTTGGCTGTTCCCCTTCCCCAATTCCCCAATAAAAATTTATTTTTGAAGAATTTTAGGTAATTTTATTTTGTGTTTCAATTTGAACCATAAAATAGTTTTATAAGCATTGCACTTAGTAAGCAGTGATTAAAAATTTTTTTTATTAAATTATTTTTTATCCCAATAAAAAATTTTAAAAACAAAAACAAAAACAACCTCATAGCCTCAAATTAATCAAATGGTATACACTGGAATATTAATGGATAAAATCTCATACTATTTTCAGGTAATTTAAATACTAACATAAAATATGCCTTAAAAGGTGGTAGAGGTTGCTATAAAATGCATAACAGGCAAAGAGGGAACTCAACTTATCTAATTAATGCAAGTAATTTTAAATAGTACTGCTTCTTGACAGTCATTGCGACATCTAGATATAAATATACTGCACTGTGACTCGCTCACATCCAGATACTTTTTTTTGAGAGAAAAAGAGTGACAGTACCAGAAAATTGTGCAATCCATAATTTATCAATGATACAACTTAATGAGATATCATTACTCTTAACTGCGATAGTAACAAATTATTTTAGTACTTATAGGTTATAATTTTATACTGTATTTTAGTTTTGTTTTTATCCATGACATAATGTTTTATATGAAGCTAGAAAAGTTAAAGAGCAATTCCAGTATCTCCGTCTAGATCATAAAGAGTTGCCAAACTTTTCTGTAAAGGGCCAGATAGTAAATATTTTAGGCTTTGTTAGCCACCCAGGGTCTCTAGCGCATATCTTCCTCTTCTTTTTTATGCAATCTTTTAAAAATGGAAAAACCATTTTTAGCGCAGAAGTTATATAAACCCAGCCACAGGCCAGATGTGGCCCTGTGCTCTAGTTTGCCGATTCTTTCTACTGACGTCTAGATGAATGAGAATGAAACTATGAACATTTCCAAAGGCTTTGAGACTGTAACAGTAACCAAACAGACAGACAAAGTGATGACACTGAAACTTGCAGGAACACTATTTGCATTAATAACTAACATAACAAAATCGTAAATTCTATGTACTAGTTTTCAATAAAAAAACTCCTTTGTTCTTCAACATTCTATTAATTGTTGCCATTATTAATATTACTTGAGAAATGGAGGTTGGGTTAAGCGAACATTTTGAAATTTCAGTATTTAGAATTAACACCTGACTACATCAAAATGAAGGATTTCTATTCAAACAAAAAAAAAAGTTAGACAGCAGACTAGAAGATGGTATCGGCAATATCTGTGGACTCACTATCTAGATTCTATAAGGAATCCTGGCACATTAACAAGAAGCCAGTTTTAAAAAGGCAAAAGATATACAACACAGGTAATTCACAAAAGAGAAAGGACTGACAAGTATAAGAAGAAATGTGTGACATTATTAGTTACAAAATAAATGTACAAGAGTGCGAGCTCTGAGCAACAGCGGTTCGATGCCCGGCCCAAGCTGAGTTGCTGCTGAGCTGCCAACAAGTGGCAGGATGCCTAAACTAAAAAAAAAAAAAAAAGTGATTTTTATAAAACACTACTTCATACCAAGGGAACTGGTAAGCTTTAGAGAGTGAGTAACAGGAAGGATGAGTGAGGACATGGGGAGGCAGGGTCTCTCCTGCACTGCTAGCCAGAGGTTTGGACATTTACAGCCATTCTGGGGATCAGGTAGCACTTTATTTATGTATCCTGATACAGCAGTCTCACTCCTAGGTTTCTGTTTAGTGGAAAACCCTTGTCAGAATACACATGGGGCATGTATGAAGATGTTCAGCATAGTACTACTGTTGGTAGCAGGGAGCTCGATGTGACCTAGGAATCCAACACAAGGGGGAATAATAAATAAAATTAATAGATACATGCTATGGAATAAGAAGCAATACGCTAATTTACATATATCAGGAATAGATATAAAACAATATCGAGTGAAAAAAATAAAACGACATCCATACCATTATATTAGTTATACACACACATGCTATACTTATAGTCTGCAAGAGCTTTTAGTAAATACATTACAGTGGCTATGTATTAGGGAGAGAATAAGACAGAAACTGAACGCAGGATAACAAAATAAAAACAAGATGAAGCCTGGGCTGGCCGAATGGCGCGATAGTTAACAACTGGCTTGGGACGCCAGAGGGCCCCGGTTCAGATCCCACATATGAGGGCCAGTGACACTGCCCTCTACAGCTAAGATGCTGAACAACAGCTCAACCTGGAGCTGGGCTGCCGTGAGTCACTGGTTATGGTGTAGGCTGCAGTCCCTGTGGCAATGGGTTGCCATGGGCTACCGTATGTAGCCAGCAGCCAGCGTGAGCAGCCAGCAGCCGCAGTGAGCGGCCGTCCAGAAGCCGGCGACTGATCTGTCTCACCCGGGAAGAGCGCAATGATGGTGCCAACTTGGGCCAGTGAAGCAACGTCCTCCACAACTAGACTGAAGAACAAAACGACAGCAACTTGTCTGTTCCCCTTCCCCCAATTCCCCAATAAAAATCTTAAAAAACAAACAAAAAAACCAAGATGAAGCCTTTGTGTAGAATACTAATGACAATGAGCTGTTAACAAAGGAGTATAATTAACTCAACTGTATATACGTGAATTAAAAAAACAGTAAACAAAATTATATAAACCATATTTCATTTTGCCTTGTAAAGAGACAATTTCAGCTATTTAAATAGCCGAATTGGGTACTGGCTTCCATGCTTGTAAAATTATTTTGTAAATACCATATTCTGTACTGTATCATACTCTCACACTCTATAGCTTTCTTTTCTTAACTACCTTTACCCACACTAAAAACATGTAGTGTGATTTGTCTCTGCACCCCCCCCCAAAAGATTTTTGGTTTAATTAAAATCAGAATATACTTATGGAAGTGCAGAGCAGAAACATCATTTAGTGTATACAACATTAAAAAGTTTAGCACTCTATTAGAAAATAATTTCATACTTTATTTTCATTAAAGATAATTTTCACTGTTAATCATCTCACACTATATAATAAACACCACCAGAGGGAGCTTTGGTGTTTATAATACATAGTATGACAATCAAATACTCCACCTACTATACATTGACTAATATATGCAGAACACAAACATAGTAACAGACTCTATGAAGAAAACTAAAGAAGGGATATTAAGCTTTAGCTGGGTAGACAGGGCATACAAACCTAGATAAACAAAAATGGCCTAGAAGTATAGCATAAATCCTAAATAAGTAAGAACATTATGACATTAGAAGAGTGATCAGTCAGGTTAGAATTATCAGGGAGAAGTTTCTAGATGAGCTTGGAAAAATATGGATCACTGATGAAGATAGGACAATCAACAAAAGTGAGTGACACAGGAGGCATGAATAAGTTAAGAGGTAAAGAGAAAAGAAAATCAGCTTAATTCAAAATAAATGTGTAGATAAGGTAATTAACAAGAAATAAGATTAGCTATATAAGCATACTGGAAGGTTATAAAAACCATACAAAAGATGATATCCAGTTTGCTCTCAATATACATCAACATTTAGAAAAATCTAATAGATATACGCAGGTCACCCTCTAGATCCAACAGGAGAATGAATACAAAGGAGATAAAAACATGACCCTCCCAATCAAGAATTACTACCAGGAATTACAGTATACTTATAGAAAAAAAGACAAGTGATAGAAATTTTGCAACAAAAATAACAACATCATAATTACCTATGAGGTTAATGCTACTGAATCTACCTAGGATTCATCGTATGACTGTTCAATAGGTAAAGCACTACAGGTGATGTCGCTCCACACTTACTCCTCCATGTGGCTGGTGCAGATAGGGTTGGTAGGAGGTGGTAGCATAAGCTTCTTGCCTTACCTCTTTTTTAAAGAAAAAATACAGAAATAATAGTGATGGAAATATCCATCTACCTTAATTTATATTGTGTCCTTGGAATCACCAAATCTATTGGGTTGTTGGAAAAGTCATGACGCATTTTTGCAATGAATAACATTCATTGCAAAATGAATAACATTAAGTATTCTATAGCTAGATGAATGATTAGTAAAGAAAACGCTATGATCTAGATATTTAATTGCCTTGTTTGAGTCATTAGAATTAGCAAAACTAAATTTATCTTTGTTTAAAACTATAAAGTCCAGATTTGAAGTGTTTATTTTTGTTTCTCAAAAAACGATCAGTTTTTTACATGCTTCTTACTTACTTCATCCATCTTCATACATGTGCCAAAATCTGCTAATTTTAAATGTCCATGTTTATCCAAGAGCATGTTGTCAGGCTTCACATCTCTATGAATTAAACCCATGGAGTGTATGGCATCCAGAGCGAGAACAACTTCAGCAGTATAGAATTTGGCCCATTTTTCAGGTACATCATAGTTACTCATAAGGTTTACAAGGTCTCCACCAGGCATGTACTCCATTACCATATACAGATACTTATCATCTTGAAAGGCACAGAAGAGCTGGAAAACAAAACAGGAAGAAAAAAAATGTAAATAGAAAAGAAAGAAAACACAAACCATAAACATAACAAAAACAAAAAAGTTTTTATTATTGAAAAAGACAAATTATTTTAGATCCAAAATCAAGATGAACTTTATGAAATCTTTGATTTTAGATTTGGATATCGTTAATGGGAAAATGCTACCAGGCAAAACTTTGATATGGGTATCTTCTTCATGCTTTCTAACAAAATATGCATAAATGAATCATTTTCCCTCTTGGTGAATACAGGAATCTATAGAAATATTTTACAAGAGAATAAGAATTCAGAACAAAAACAAATTATTGCACGTAAGCCACAAAGAAAACTGAGGATGTAGGATCAGTTTAGAAACACCTAAAAGATACCAGATTCAATGGATACAAGAAGAAGGAGTAAGTGCCAACCAGTGGAAGAGAGAGCAGTTGGTAGCGCATTTGGAACAGGTCCTTCTCCTCTCTCCCTTCCCTATTGTCTTGCTCATAAAAAGCAGCAAGTGGCAGTATAACCTGCACCCAAACTAAAGCAGTGGCATTGGACCAGAGAAACAAGACACCAAGATAGTGTCTGACCCCCAGGAGAGAGAGAGAAATCACAAATTCAGAAGGAAAGGTATCTGTACATTCCACCCAACTCATGTCCCAGCCCTCCCGGAAGCAAACAGAAAAGGTTTCCACAAAGGGGAAAGCTAGAATAAAATAAAAAATCAATATTTGAAGTACAAAGCAATTAAAGAAACAACAAAACTGTCCATATATGCATGGGTCTATATTCGGGTTTCTATTCAATTTAGTTTTATTTGTATATTCTTGCCACCAGTACCACAGTGTTTTAATTAGTTCAGTTACATTTGCTTGGTATTAAGCTTTTTACCTATGGGTTTACAGATTTCATCAAATTTGGGCATTATTTCTTCCAATAGTTTTTCTAGCCCCTTTCTCAGACTTCAGATTTATTTACACACACACACACAGTCACAGCTTTATTACGTAGGCACAGTCTGGGTGGGAGCAGAGCTTCTGTGCCCTCTCCTTGTGAAATCAGGGTGGGTCACATTCTGCACATCAATGTGTTCACCCATCAGAAAGTTCCAATGAGTGTCAATGTCCAGAGTTTTAATTAGGGTCTCATTACATGGCATCATTAATTAAACCACTGGCCATGTGATTAAACTCTATCTCCAGCTCCCTTCTCCTTTGGAGTTCAGACAGCTGAAAAGTCCCAATCCTCTAATCAGGTGCTTGTTCTTTCTGTGATCAGACCCCATCTCAAAGCCATCAAAAGGCCACCAGGAGTTGCCTCATTAGTATAACAAAGACACTGCTATCACTCAGGAAATCCAAGAGCTTTTAAAAGCTCTGTGCTAAGAACTGGGTACAAAAACCGAGTACATTCTTTATTATACCATACCATACAATGGCATACTACTATTCAGCACTAAAAAGAAATGAAATACAATACATGCTACAATATGCACGAACTTCAAAACAGTATACTAAAGAGACCAGATCCAAAAGACATCATACTGTATGAGTCCATTGATCTGAAATGTCCAGAAAAGGCAAATCTATAGAGACAGTAAGCACATCAGTGGCTGCCGGTGGTTGGGAGGAAAATGGCAAATGACTATAAATGGGTACAAGTGATCATTTGGGGATGGTGGAAATGTTCTAAAATCAGATTGTAGTTATTTGTGCACAACTATAAATTTCATAAAAATCACTGAATTGTACAAGTTGATCTGCAAATAACTTAATAATGAAGCTTTATTCACAAGACAAAACTTGAAAATACCCAAATGTCCATGAACAGATGAATGGATAAACAAATTGTCAATATTCATACAATGAAATACTATTCAGCAATAAGAAGCAATAAGAAGAAATGAACTATTATTGATATATTGCATAATGGATAAATCTCAAAACAATTTCACTGAACGAAAAAAGCCAGATGGGATGGGATTGGACACTATAGAAGAAAAGATCAGTGCTTAAAGACATAACCCAAAAACTATACAAAATGAGACACACCAGAATGACAACAAAAAGACTTGATGTGATATGATTAAAATGGCATTTTATCTCTGTAGTCTTTCTCTCAAAAACCCTATCCTAAATAAAGAGAAAAACATCAGACCAATTCCAATAGAAGAGCATACACATCCTACAGTGTAACTGGCCAGTACTCCTCAGAGCTGTAAAGGTCAAAAACAAGGGAAGTCTGAGAACTGTCATAGCTAAGAGGAGCCTAAGAAGGTATAATTAACTATAACATACTATCTTGATGGGATCATGAAAGAGAAAAAGAACAACTGGTAAAAACTAAGACTGAATAAATTATGGGCTTTGATTATTAATAATGTATCAATATTGGTTCATTCATTGTAACAAACGTATTTTATGAAAGTCAGATGTTAATAACAGGGGAACCGTACAGCAGGTACATGGGAACTCTATTACCTGCTCAATTTTTCTGTAAATTTAAAACTGTGTTTAAAAATAAAGTCTATTAATAAAAATAAGTCATATGTTAGTGGATAAAAGTATTTGGCAGCGCCTAGCTGTGTGAAAAGACATTTTCTAGTAAGATGAATATATAAAACCTTATTATACATCAGCATCAACAGAACATCTGCAATCAATTTTGACAGGAAACACTAATTGTGAACCCCAATGAAGCAAAATGTTAACCCCCCCCCAATATAATTTCATTCTTCTCCTGAACAGACCTTTTTTTTTTCATTTACTTATTATTATACTATTTTAAATTTCATCAGTAAGAAATTTGGCTTCTCGTTATGTAAGTACCTACATAATATCTTCGATTTGCCTATTGACTGGCCTACAAAGCCTAAAATATTTACTATCTGGCCCTTCTCAAAAAAAGTCTGCCAATTTCTGGTATGAGGGAAACAAGACTGGCAAAGCCTGGTAACTGTTGAAGCTGAGTGAACAGCAAGTACCTGGGAAGATTCAATACACTTCGTTTGTTTCTACTTTGGAGTATGTTTGGAATTTGTCGTAATAAATTTAAAAAACTAAAAAATATATCATTAAATATATTGAAAATTTTCTTGAACGATTCACAAGGAAGTTCAGTCAAGCCTCATGAAATAAATGAGCCCATGTTTAAAAAAGTGAATTAAATTTAAAGGTCAAATGTCACATGCCTATAGATGGAAAATTAGTTAAAACATTAGTAAATCAAATCCAGTATTTTGAGAATACTGTATTATAGCAAATAGCATTTACTTTATACTACCCTGAAATTTATTTTTTTAAGAGTACTATTTATAATAACCAGTTAAATAAGAAAACCATCTTAGAAGATGCTGAAGAAAGCATTTCAAGTACTTTAACATTATTCCTGTTAATAAGTATTTGGTAAGTTAAGAATAGATTGTCAGGCCAAATCCTTTACTGCCTTAACCAGAAAGTTTCAGTAAACATCAGATTTAATAAACCACTGAAGTTTAACATAATAAAAAAGATAAGGATGAAAAACTTCCACTATTCAACACAATACTGAAAGACTGAGCCAATGCTAGGTTTTTGCATTTTGTAATGTATACATATTTAAAAAATAGTTTTCTTATGCATAAATTTCTTCTGAACCTAATTTTGGGGGAAAAGTAATATAGCTTTACTGAAGATCAAACTCTGTACAGAAAGATACACTGTATAATTATGGGAAGACCTAATATTCCAAAATAATCAAATCAACCAAAAAAACCTACCAATTGAAACAATGTATGTCAAAATTATAACTGTCTTTTTTAACAGAATGAAAGGGTAATTCTAACTTCACAGAAAAAAATGTTAAGAACTGCCACAAAAACATTATATAAGAGAACAATGAGAAGAGGCTTGTTCAAAATATATGAAAAACTACAAGAATTACAACACTATGATTTCAGTGCAGAATAACAGATCAAAGTAACTGAACAGAGTCAAAGAGAATTTCATGTGTATATGACAATTCCGTCTATGGTATAAAGGACATTGCATTTACTTCTTGGGGGAAAGATGGGTTTTTCTAGAAATGGGACAGGGAAAATCAGCTACCCATTTGGGAAAAACAAATCCTATTTCACATAAAAAAAAATTTCTGGTGACTTAGAAATAGACCCCTTCCCAAATGAAACTACAAAAAAAGTTAGAGTATTTAAAAGAATATTTTTATAACCTTGGCAATGGGGAAGTATCAAAATATAGAATCTATATAAATTTGACCAAATCTAAATTTAAACATTCAATAAATATACAAGTAATAAATAGTCCAAGGAAATATATTTCCAATATATGTATATATAAAACAAAGGATTAATACCCAGGATTGATTAGCATTCTAACAAATCAATATTAAAAAAAAAAGCAAAGCAATACATTTAAAAAACTGGATAAGCAATGGAGAAGGAATACAAATTACTCATAAGCATATGAAATATGAAGAATCTCACAAGTAATCAAGGAAATGCAACTTAACACAGTAACATCTTATTTCTCAAAGATATGACTAATAAAAATGTAAAATAATTACAATATCCAGTTTTTACTAAAAATGTAGTGAAATAAAACATCTATTGAACAATTAGAGTAATATAAACTTGTAAACACTTTTTACAAGGCAATTTGGCACTATCAGTCAAAATGACAAATGTGCATAACATACATATGTCCTAGCAATTCCAAAGCTAGGAACCTAAAGAAATAATTCACACATGTAACAAAAGATGGATCTACAAACATAGTTAATTCCATATCAAGGACAGAAAATGTACAAAATAGGCCTGAAACACACTGTTATGTATGAGAGACTATCACAAATTACTAAGGCTATGTCAAACGGACTCAAGAGGCAACCTGAACATGATCCCCTTGCCAAAGGTATCACAATTTGAATATCAATAAGATATTTAAAGGATTGAAACATATCAAATAGGTTTTAAATCCATGAGTTCAAACTGATACTTCCCCAAATTGGTCACCTTTAGAGAAGAAAAGAAACTAATCCCTAATTTTGAAAACTACTAAATTCAAGGAAAGAATAAAGTATTTATCCTGTCCTTCCTTGTGAACTGTACTCCTAGGTAGCCAATTAGTAAATGGGGGAATATTTTTCTTTATAGAAGTATTCCAGTGATTATAATCAAGAAGGAATGACAGAATTGGAATAGCACCATTTTACAATCCTTAAATTAATGGATCTAGACACTGAGCACAGAAACAGGTGGTAAAAATAACGTATTTCCCCATGTATAAGATGCACCTTAATTTTGGGGCCTGAAATTTGAAAAAAATGTATTACATAAAGTTATTGAACTCAAGTTTTATTCACCATAAAATTCATACAATTCCTCATCACTTGGGGAAATGCAAGTAAAAAATTTTACAGCCACTATATAAGCAGCACCCAGTTTTTAGACCCCAAATTTTTCAAAAAAGGGTGCATCTTATACATGGGGAAATACGGTAACAAGAGATAACCAGGCATTAGCCTCTTGATAGAACAAAACATTACCCATGAATTGTTCTGCCACCACCCTCCAAATCACACGTTTCTGATCAAGCCTCTATATCTAATTACAAACCTTGAAAAATACAAATGAGCAAATGAGAGGGGAACATGTTGAACTACACCACAAGGATGAAATCAGCAAAATCGAAGTTTCTTCAACAAATTGATGGAACAAAGTAACAAAGAAAAAGAAGAGGGAAACTCTAGATTGAGAGTCATAAAAGAGATAACTTAAAATTTTAAAAGAGCTAAAAGTAAATCAAATGTTTAGTGACACCTATTTTGGTAATGAAACTAAACTATAAAGGAAAGCAAGGAAGTATTTACCATAAAAGTAAGGAAACGGGATAAAGAGGCAAAGAAAGAAAATAGCAAACTGGATGGCTTAAAAAAGAAAACGTTCTCTCTATCAGCAAAGGAATAAGATTTTTAAATGAGTCAATATTCATTTCATGAATTCCAATCACATTAAGAATATACCTCTAAGAAATACAAATGGGTCAAAAAGTTATATTGTACCATAACTTATATAAGAAAAATGAGTTATTTCCAACAAGAATGTAACAAATTATAGGGCCTTCATACAATTAAATATTGAACAGTCATTAAAATATAAAAACTGAGGGGCTGGCCAAGTTGCTCAGTTGGTTAAGGGTGCAAGCTCTAAGCAATAGGGTCGCCAGTTCGATTCCCACATGGGCCAGTGAGCTGCGTCTGAGCTGAGCTGCCAACAGGTGGCAGGATGGCTCAGTTGGTGAGAGCACGTGCTCCTAACAACAAGGTTGCTGGTTCGACTCTCACATGGGATGGTGGGCTATGCCCACCGGCAGCTAAGACTGAACACATCACCTTGAGCTGAGCGGCCTGCGAGCTGCTGACGGGCAGCCGGATGGCGACTGGACTTGGAGCTGAGCTAGCTGTGCCCTCCACAATTAAGATTCAAGGACAACAACTTGGCTGTTTCCCTTTCCCAATTCCCCAACACTGTTCCCCTTCCCCAATTCCCCAGTAAAATCTTTTAAAAAAATAAAAATCTACTGAAATTGATTATAGATATATCCCATGACCCATTAATCTCACTGCAAGGTAGGTCCCTAATGCAAATGTGTGGACCTATGTGCCAAAATCCATATGAAAGAAATTCATAGCAGCATTATTCATAATAGCCAAAAAGTAGAAACAAACCGAGTGTCCATTAACTGATGAATGAGTAAAACGTGGTATCTATCCATGTAACAGAATATTATTCAGCCATAATAAAGAATGAAGTGCCAATACACGCTATAACATGAATGAACATTGAAAACACAAAGCTAAGCGAAAGAAAATGTCACAAAAGCCCACATATTGTATATCCCATTTATGTGAAATGTCCAGAATGGGCAATCCACAGATAGAGAAAGCAGATTAGTGGTTGCCAGAAGCTGCGGTCAGGGAGGATTAGGGAATAACTGCTAATTGGTTTGGGGTTTCTTTTTGAGATAATAAAAATATTCTAAAATTAGGTAGTAGTGATGATTACACAACTCTACAAATATACTGAAAATCACTAATAAAATAAAATAATAAGCAAATATAAATAAGTCAGTCATTTTGACAAGTTTTCCCCAAAAGTTACACATCTTGTCCTTTACCACAGAGATAAATAAATGAAAGCCAAGATTATAATCTGTTACTTCTTCAATTGTACAGTTTCACTGTTGGTTTGCTTCTATAGATTCATTAAATCTCTACCTCAATGAACACTTCATAAACTCCACTTAGCAGAATTAAAGATCAAAGACACCAATTTATGAAATGATAGACTAGAAATGGCAATGAATCAGTTACTATGAAAGCAATTTACAGCTAAATGTGGAATAAATAATTTATTACAATCATCTTTAATCAAGTAAATTATCATGATATATAATTTGCCATAAAAAATTAAGTTTCAGCTGCACATTATCAGAATTTCTATCCACTGGCTACAATAAAAAAAATAAAGTAAGGAGAAGGAGGGTGGAAGCTCAACATCATAAAAAAAGCAACTGTAATGAGCTTTTAAGTTACATAATCATCAATGTGGCAAATTTCTTACCTCCAAATTGCGTTCCCCAAGCAAAGTATTAAACTCCCAGATCATTTAAGCATTTTGAACGTGCACTGGTATGTACATACCTAATCTTACTCATGGCACTTGTTCAAATGTGTTTGCAAAATTAGATATTAGTATAAAAGAAGTCTTTAGAGAAACAAAGCTAATGAGAGATATAATTGGAAAGGAGGCAAAATGAAACCATAAATTCCTTACTTAATAGTCAAATAGGAGGCTGAATTAGGAACTCCAAAACTGTCTTACTATAGGAGAATAGTCAAAATCTTTATTGTAGGAAGTTTTTTTATTTCTTTTGAGATAGACTGATTATTGTTACTATTATGTAAATCATGAGAAAGAGTAGGCAGGAAATAATGGTATACTTTTAACAAATCCATTTCTTTATAAAGGAATTAAAAAAGAAGGCGCAGGTTAATACTTGCTTCCACACACCAATGTATTATGTGTTATGTCTAGAAGATATACGTACTATTTAGGAACATTAAACAAACGTATTGAACCCAATTGTATTAAAAATAACTGTATTGTCACTAAGTAAAGGAGAGATAGGACTTTTAGCACACAAAATCAATTCTTAGGAATAATAACCACTTATACAAAAGGGATAGAAACCTTCAAAAGTTAGTATGCTTACCTGAACCACCCAGGGGCTGTTGGCAAAGGCCATAATATCTCTTTCTTCCCAGAAAAAAGCAGAATCTGATCTTTTTATCATTTCAAACTTACTAAGGAGCTTCATAGCATAAACTTTCTGTGTTGCCTTATGACGAACCTGTTGATTTTTAAAACATAAAAATTATGAATACTTTAATTTTATGAGAAAAATGAAAACATATCATACCACAATACTACAATTAAAAGACTTGTTACAAAACAAAATGATCCTTAGCTAACTAATAAAAAGTATAACATTTTAAATGAAAGAAACAGGAGAAAATTCTCAACAGCCTAAATATTTCATGAGGTACACCATACCTTTAAATGTTAGGTTCAAAATACAACTATCTAATTTCATCTAATAAAGCTGAATTCACAAAGCTTCATTCCTTCATGTTAATTAAGCTAACCAATTTTAAGAATAAATATTGTTAAATGAGAAACTTGTAAGACATGTACAGGTATCCCCCACTATCTGAACGTAAGAACCTAATAAATGTAGATAGATATAAAGGAATTTTTGTGATTTGTTAAGTCAACCTTATATCTTTCTAGATACCTAGAAACCTTGCTAATTTTCTGGGCATCCAGGTGATGGAGCTTAGGAGCAAGAACCATGCTCTAAAGCAAGGCCTACTCCAGCATTCCCTAACAAAGCCTAATAATACAACGCCCTAAAACAGCAAAAGGGGAGCCGAGTTGGGAGGTTCAGTCCTGCCAGTTAAAAGGACTTGGGGAATAACTTGGTCTTTTCCACACATCTATATTTACAAAATATAAAACTGAGCCTGCACAAGTTAAGAGTAATCAGCTTTTAGTATAAAAATCAGCACCCATTATTAAAGAAAACTAACAAAATCCAGAGTCTCTGTCACTACTCACAAGGACCAGCATATAATTGTAAAATTACTGGACAGGCAAAAAGGAAAATGTGACTCATCATCAAGAAAAAAAAGTCAACAGAAAACCCCAAAAGATGTTAGATTTAGCTAAAAAAGAGGTTGCTAAGGTATTCCCCCTTCTATATTTATGCCACTTTTCAAACCTTCACTTATTTTAACAAATTAGATTTTGAATGTTTCCTAACTTCATTAGAAAAAGCAATCCATATAACATTATGAGTAAATTAACTTATAGCATAATATTATTTAGGCTTGACTCAGACCATGAAACCTTTAAGAACTCTGCTGTAAAGCACAGCTATGAACAGAAACTAAGATATTTGTCAGCTGGTAGAAAAAAGTTAAATATGTGTTTATATGTTTAATTGTTTACATATGAATTAACTAAACAAACAAAAACAAACCTAGACGGAAAAGGCCATTTATTCTAATAAACAAAAAGTTACACAAACAGGCATAAGATGATTTTCTAAATATGAAAAAGTGCTTATTGACTTTACTTTTGGTGATTCTTTATGCAAAACTGTTTCCCTTTTGTGCTTCCACAGTACTTACTATAATCTAATATTACAATTAGTTGTGTACATGTCTGCTTCATAAGCTCCTTTAGGAACAGAATACAAGCTTTCACTTGCAGGATGCCTAGTGCCTAGTGATTGGCACAATGCTGAACTGTCCAATGCAACAAACTCATCAAAATCATAGCTGTATCTATATAAGAGCTATGAAACTTTTAATAAATAAAAGACTATTTTGGCTAGATGCTAGTGTTAATGAGGCCTGCATTTCATTTAAACTATTGTGATAGGACACTTAAGTGACTCATAACAGGAACCACCAGCTTAGAGTCTGACTTGATCTACAGAACAAACATTAAGAGGCAATAGTTGTATTGATGCCAAATATCTACCTCATACCTTTAAAATTCATTAGCACTAGTATTACAAAGCACTACAATAAAGTACTATTACTATAGGAAAGCTGGTTTCCACTGATATTTCTTCTGAAGATGTCTTTCTGAATGGCTCTATTGTAATCTACCTCAGCATCTCTATACATTCCCCTTTGTTCTCTAGCTCCTTCTCTTCTATTCAACATGGATGGATAAACAGTCAGATGTAGTAGCTATTCATTATCACTCTGTACAGAGTACTGCTTAAAGCATGGATGTAGATGTAAACAAATCTGGGCAAATGTCCTAGATATTTATGAACTGCATGTGTGGCCAATTTACTTAACCCCTCAAAATTTCAGTGACTTCACCTACATAAGAACCTCATAGAATTGTTGCCAAGATAATGAATATAAATACTTAGCACATAGAATATACTCAATGAAAAATGTTAGCTAACTTCACTATTGACAAATGGAACCTAGTTCCTTCGATTATGAAGCTTTACGTGTGTTTCCCCTATGTCACTAATCTATGAGTACCTGAAAGACAAAAACATCGCTCCTATTCCAACATTTCCATTTGCTAGAGAAAAGATTTGTTATACTTCTCATCTCTAATTTTAAAAGTGAATGCATGCAAAAACACCATCTAATTGATTATCTCTATATATATCTCTATAACTATCTATCTATCGACCTACCTACCTACTTACCTATCTATAGAGAGATCAAAAGAACAATAGTAAGGGTTAACAGTGGTTTCATCTCAGCTGATGAAATTTTGGGTGATTTTTATTTTCCTATATTTGCTTATTTGTATTTTCTGCAGCTAATATGTACTTCTTTGAAAAAAACAGAGTAGATGAAACATTCCTAAGTGTTGCCAGAAACATGCTTGGAAAATCCTAAAATGTTTCTCCTGAAACATTTGTGGACAAAAACTTTTGAAAATCATTCTAAACAAAATGGCTCGTTTGAGGCTTTCAAATTTATTTTTAGTATCAAAACAATAATTTTTATAGAAAGATCCAATGCATATATTTGACATATAATTGGAGCAGTTATTCTGTGTTGCTAAGGTTTCCACTAAAGATGCAACAAAAGAGTGTGTCCTTGTGCTTTTCGTCTGGTCTGGCTATGACAGCCAAGATTGAATGAGGGAATACAGGAATTACAAAAACATAGAGGGAACAAGATAATTTTTGCAACTCAGAAACAGCCTTGTAACCAGCAAAGAGCCTGTTTTATTCCGAAAAAAGGAATAAAAAATTTGAATTTACATGACAAATGTTAGAAAATCATTTCCCCTGCACTCTTTTCTTCTGGTTGATTCCACTTTAAAAGGTTAGTTTAAAACCAATTAAACTAAAATCAGGCCAATGGGAATAAAAAGAGAACTTTCTATGTTTCAGGCTCTGCGCTATGCAGGATATAAAATGGCAAGAAAAATCCAGTCACATATATAATCTGGCTACACATATGTGGGTCAACTGAAAAATCCACATATAAGAGGACCTATGCAGTTCAAACTCGCATTGTTGAGAACCAACTGTATAATTCAAAGATGCAGAGGAGAAATCATGCTCAGATAAAGGGTAGAAAGGAGAGTAAAAGGAATCAGGAAAGTTTTCTTTTACAATGCTGAAAGACAGACAGTGAAACATGACTGAAGAAACAGACAGGTAACAAAGACCATGCTCTGAGATTAGTAGCCTGCACAGGATGAGCAGCATAATGGAAAATAAGGGTGAAAAAGATAAAATTGATGACTTCTTAAAAGAGGGCCTGGAAGGCCAGGATGAAGACTTCATGATTCACATAGTTAGGAAGTTAGTAGACAAGGGAGCCATGAAGTGCTAAGGAGATATAATGAATATATTTTAGAAGGATCAATTTGGCAGCAGTTTGTATTAGGCAGATCAGATCTCTACTTCCCATTCTTTATGTATCTCAATATAGAGAGGTGGGCAAATAAAGAAAAACAGAATAAAACAAAACAGGTGTGTTAGAAAAGCCCCACAGTTGGGCCGGCCGAGTGGCTCACTGGTTAAAAGTTGGCTTGGGAGCGTGAGCTCTGAGCAGCAGGGCCGCTGGTTTGGGTCCCACATGGGCCAGTGATGCTGCGCCCTCTACAGCTAAGATGGTGAACAACAGCTCAATCTGGAGCTGGGCTGCCGTTGAGTCGCCAGCGATGGCGTAGGCTGCAGTGGGGCTGCAGAAAGCTACCGTGAGTGGCTGGCAGCCAGCGTGAGCTGCCATGAGTGGCAGTCCAATGGCCGGCAAGCGACTGCCTCACCCGGGAAGAGCGCAATGATCACAATACCAACATGGGCCAGTGAAGC